AAAGGAGCACTTAGTCTGACAAACCCTTGAGAAAAGAGTAAATGTAAATCCCCTACCATTTACATGTTTTGATAGATATTATATCTATGGATGAGTGAAATGCAACACAATGGGCAGCGACTGCCTCAGGAAACAGTTTTTTTTACGGTCTTATGACATTTTGAAAGGCTTCCTTCTTCGGGTCTTTATTTTTCAAGATTAGTTTTTTTATTTTTCAGGAAATCGCTTCTCCCCTTTTAACTAGTGTAGAGTGCCAGCTAGAAATAGCAACCCATTCCATAAGATAATCACCCTGTTTGAAAAATAAAACTGCCTTAACTAGAGCTTAGCTTACATTCCAAACTTTAAATTTTTGTCCTCTCGTCCTACTGTCTTCATAATAGAGCACAAAGAAATCAGAGACCTTTATCTTATCAGTCCCCCCATATAACCCTGTAAATTTCACTCCTCTTACCTTTTTCTCAAGAAAAAAATATGTTGAAAGATCCTATTCTATCCCAATAAGATAACCATTTCATCCCCTAAATAACCTTACAGTCCTCTTTGCAGTAAGTTAGTATATTTACTTGATAAAATGACCGAAACTGTATGCAGTATTCCAAATAATGTCTAACTAGTTTTATGTATAGTATAAAATAGAATCGCTTTTTTACTCTTAACCAATATATCTATAAATACACCCTAAAAATATATTAGCAACAGAGCACTGGTTCGATGTCATGAATACCTTATATACCTCTATGCCAAGAGCCATTTCTTCAGTTCCACTGTTAAGATGGTTCTCATAGTCTTTAACAAAATATTATTGAAATGCATAATCCATATTTTAATATCGTTAATATCTGTTAGTTTTAATGTTATGTCCATTTGTTTCTAATAAGCCATCTTTGATTTCTTAATCAAATATCTAGATTTCCTATAGTTATGCAAATCTTTGATCCCATTTGTCAGTTAAAACATTTTAAGTTTATGGTATTTATTCATTGTGTTCTCTTTTATTTCGCTAGTAATCCAGTTTTCTTCTAATCAAACATCGGAAAATATTAATAACTAATCATTCTAACTTCACTTGTATTAACTGGCAATACATATAATATTATCCAAGTTAAAAATTACTCAGTCATTTTCTCCTCTTGATTTTTTTTTAAATCTCACTAACATCAGAGACTTCCCGAGTTTCGTGTATTTTTGGTTTCGAAAGCTTCTAGAAGCTTATAGGTGTATCGTTCACATATTGACTAAAGTTAAGAATTCCCCATTTTTTAATTTTCTGAAATGTTTTATCGAAATTTATGGCTAAATATGGTTTTAATACGTTTGAGGAAATAAATTTGTATTTCTAAAGTAATGTTCTTTTCAACCAGATAACCAACGAACGTTTGTTAATGTGCGCTTAATTGAAATGTTAATTAGCAGAGTAGACAGAAAGAATTAAGCAATCCAACCCTACGAAACCTGTATTTTGTATAAAAATAGCTAGTAAGTCGTATGGTATATATATATATATATGTATGCGTTTGACATTATCCTTTTCACCGCGCGGGGTGAAAAGAAGCAAAAGTTTCTGATCACCCCGGGTTGTCTTTGGGGCCTGCCACGAATGTGATTGATGATGTATATAACAGTACTTCAGTGTTCAGTCACCAATTAATATCAGAATAAAATATAAGTTTTTCAAGTAACATGATTTCTTTAGGGTGCAAAGCGACAACTTGGTATATATATATATATATATATAGTGAAAAGGCTCATTATATCTGTTAAGTGTCTTAAGACGTCACATTAATTGTGATAAGACTTCATATTTTACTGTGTGTTTTCTTAGTAAGCTTCAGTCAACCTGGTAAGTTTTAATATCGAAGGAAAATCCACCTGACCAGTGACAGGTATATAACGACCTCACGTTTCCTAGGGGCTTATCCTGTCTTTTCTTTGCATTTTCAGTAGACGTTTCAGGCTTCATATCATTGCTCTCCCTAAAGATGAATTCAACATGAAACGAAACACTATCTCAAAACACAAACAACGAAAGAATATTTACACCATTCTCTGAACTCTCTTTGAAATAACATACTTAGTTTCAAAGCACAGTAATTCTCAGCCTAGAAGATTAAACCTATTCTTGTGCATGGCCTTATAATAACAACGTTTGTTTTAGCGCAAAGCTACACAATTGGCTATCTGTGCTTTGTCTATCTCGGCAAATCGAGCCCCAAATTTTAATGTTCTCAGATAACTGCTTACCCAATGCGGGGTCTAATTACTACTTAAAATTGCAGAAATATAAAACGCTGAGAACCAAAACATGTTCCTCAGCACACACAATTTGAACAAAAAATAATCAAAGCAAGAAAAAGAAGGATGTAAGGCATGGCGTAGATTAGTTATTTCTATAAATGGATTATTAGTACACAAATCTAGCTCAAACTTTAAATTCAGTGCTATATAATAAGTAATAGAATTCAAGTCTAAGTAAATAACTTGTGAAATATCTTAGATGTCCTAATAATTAGTTACTTATACCTGTAGTATAACTTATATCATGTGCCATGAGTAACATTTATTGTTTCCTTGAAACAATGACATAAATTGAAATTATTTAATGTATTTTCCTCATGTAAATCTGTTCCAGTGTCAACTCGGAGGCCTAACATTTAACAGAGTTTCGTGAAGGAATTATGCTGTACTGCAAAATTCGCAGTAACTTGAACAAAGGATCATAGCTTAAATTCCAAATCGTATTCTAACTTTCTCGCAAAATATTAAAGAACGTCTGTCTTCATACAAACCACACTTATAACGATAGAAAGGTTGCTTGATGCAGACAATGAAGAAGAAAATTGTTTTATTGTGCAAACATCGAATTTCTTTTTGAGACTTTTCAGAAGGACTGTAAACAATATATTTATTTACTAATGGGGTTCAGTAGTTGTCGATTTAACCTAGTTTCCTTATTATAAATAACCCTTTCATTATGAGCAGACAACCTTGATTTTTGACCCTATGACGATTGTTCACGAAGAGTTCGCCAAGCACGACTGATGGGTCCTAAGTTTAACATTATCGCTGCAGTAACATCTGGGGAATCTCGTACGACAAATAAGTGAATTCGTTTTATTTGCGCACGTGGCGCAGTGAAACTAGAAGCCTATAATAGGTGTTGCATGTGCTATATGAGAAGGTCAGGTTTGGAAGCTGCGTTTAAAGACTTTCTCAGAAATTTTAATTCATTTTTGGGAACCCAACGTTTGGCATTTTTGAGACACAATTTCATCACAATTCCGAGCTTAAACTGACTTCAGCTAACTACAATAACACATTTTTTGAGTACTAGTATAATTATCTAAGATCAGTGATTCATTATTAACGATATATAACCAGCATAACTTTAGAATTAAAATGGCATTTCTTTTATAATTTTCGCAAATGGATTAAGAAAGGAAATAAATAAATCACCTTTACCTTCTTCTGATTTACCTCAAATATTACATTCAACGTTTTGTACGTTGCAATAATCCACGCTAAACGTCTAAACTGCGTTTATTCAAATCGTACATACACATCAAAAACAGAAAAAGAAAAAAATAGAACGATACCACTCCTAGAAAATACATAATATCCATTAAAACACAAAATATAGTCAGGTTAAAAATGACACGAACTGGGGTCAGATGTGGCTCAGTAACTTAGTATGCTGTGCTGGAGACAGAAGGTGTAAGATTTGAACCTGTGATATGCTACCGAACACCCTTTGCATTGAACACTATCTAAGGGCGTGTTATAAAGTGAGTCAGTTGCGTTATTCTGTTAAGAATAGCAATGCAGATGGAGTGGTGCTGCTGTTAGTTGACCTCTATCTCGTCAGCTGTTTCTGGTTACGGACAGCTATGCCTGCCTGCAGCTTGGGGTCTCTGACCTGGCCTCTAATTAATGCACGTGTCTTATAACGTACCGTTCAGAGATTGAAAATAGCAAATAATAAAAAAAAACACGTACTAATTAATCTAAAGACGAATGTACTAAACCATTTTGTTTTATTTTGAGTTTGAACTTTTGTGTTTTTATTTGCAGTGCATATGTTATTTCCATCAGGTCTGCCATTGGTTAAAGTAACATGTTTATCGTTCGATTGGTGTGTCAGTAGTAAAACAGATTTATAAACATTTGTTTACGTCACTTATGATTAACTTGTCTTAATGATAGAAATAAGGCTCATAAAGGTTTCTTTACGTCACTTGTAGGTTATGTTAGGTTAGGTATTGTTGATATGGCTGAACTGTTATTATTTGTCTTATATAAACGACGTACTCTGTACAAATTTATAATGTTTATTTTTAATAACTATTCGAAAATCTCAAAAATACATATATATCATCGGAAGACTTGTTTCTCACAAGACAAAATTATTTGACATAAATTTTTTCTCTCGGGAAAAGTAGCTAAACTTTATCAGGTATAAGAAGACTTTAAAAAAATGTATTTGATTTCTTTGTATCACATATAGTCTTCAAGATTACATACATAGTTGCAGGTATTTATAAGATAAATTTCTTATATAGTATAATTAGTTCACACGTAATAATAACATTGTATCCAATAAAAATTGATAAGAAAATATTATGTACATTTAGCAAGTAGTGAAATGTCTTGTACGAATATACAGGATGTTCGTTATGTGTACTGAACTTGTTCCCACCATACATTCATGCCTCACTGTACACCATAAAAGCTGATGTAGTCACCTTTGTTTGTACTTTGCTTTTAATATAATCAATAAACTGTTTATAAAAAGACTGCCATGTTGGTAATTTTGTTTCAATATAATCATAATAGCCCAACCAAATGACTTTCTACGTAAACAAAACTAAATGTTTGATCTGTAGGAATGTAGACCCGATAGAAAACTTTCAATTACATTTTTAGATTCAGGTTGCTAGAGGCAATAAACTTCATAGTGTCTTTTATAAGAGACAGAAATTGTAACCAATATTATTTGAATATTAACGGTGTACTGTTTTTAAATGCCTATGCATGTTTCCGCTTTGAGAGAATGCCCTCTGACATACTGGACACGAATAAGGTCTTTCTCCAGTGTGAATTCTCTTGTGCTTTGTGAACGTTGAAAAATCACCAAATTTTTCTGTACAACACGAACACTGATAAGGCTTCTCTCCTGTGTGAATTCTCAAATGTGTGTTCAAAGATGACCTCTGTACAAACGAATTGGCACACACTTTACACTGATATTTGCTACTCCTTTTACTCGCATGGCGGCGTTGGTGTATCCGAAGCTGACCAAACTTTGAAAAAATCTTATCGCAGTGAGTGCACGGAAAGCCAGTAGAAATACCTGAAATAAAATGAAAATACAAGTAAGTTAATTACTTTTTGTGATAGCTTAATCATTAACAAAAGCACAACAACCATAAACACGTTCACATTAAAAGTTATTGATAACCAAAACGTACTAGTTTATTCTTTGAAAACTACTTATAAAGCGTGGTTTATTGTTTACTAAATATCACAACGTTGATAGTAATAATATATGCCTGTGAAATCAGTTATATATAAAGTTTCAATTGTTATCACGAAAATCATCTATTATATCTATCAATTAATGTACAAATATCACTTCTTACAAAACTATTAACTTCAGGCACATTTTCATAAACATTATACAGTAAATTCTGGTCAAGAAAACTCATAAAAACTAACCATTGTGTTGTATTTCTTCCATTTTCTCTTCCTCTGCAAGTCTACCCTCATTTGTTTCAGGGTTACTTAAAAATACAGATGTTTTAAGAGAAGTAGTTTCTTCCTGGAACTCCGCGCTGGAAGTTTTTATTGCACCTTGTGATCCAAAAAGGTGACTAATACGTTTCCGAATTGGCAAATTCTTCAATTCTTTGTTGTCAGACTGATAGCTTAATAAATGGTTTTGGGTTTTCATTTCTGTGTTGCTCACTTCCGTAGTTGTTATGGTGTTTGATGTGGAATGTGGTGGACCAAGTAGATGTACAGAAGGTCCCCTGAACATCAAAGTTTGATAATATGAATATAACCTAAAAAGGGGGAAATATAGGATTACATACCCTTCATTTCATACACATCGCATTGATTTCTGTAAAGTTTTAACACATATAATATATCCAATTATTATAGAGATTTTGTGAATGAGTTTCTCCTTCGTGAACTTAATCGTCAACTAGCGAGTATTTAAGGTAAAGCATAGTTATCCTGAATTGTAAATGAATTTTATCTTAATAACACTTGTAATTGCCTTTTTTATCCATTGTAGCAATTCAATAAAATGCAGAAAACAATTTTTGTTATATCAAGTTATTGCGGCGTTATTTGGTTTTTTATAGTTTGGACATTATGGCGTTAGGTAATAGGCTTGAGGCATTGGATTTAATGTACAGTTTAAACTTGTATGTGTATCAATTATATATCTAAAAAAAATACAAACATACGCTGAGTTTACCTTCAGATCGAACGGTTATCTTCAAAGTTAAATCCTATAATAAAAAATCTTTACCACATGCACCTATTTCAAATTTTTTTTATTTGTACTTGCGGGTTTTGCCGATGTTATACTTGCGTTTGAGTATGATAGCTTTCTAATTCGCCAGTTCTTCTGAATGATGAGTAAAGAAAAATCAAATAAGTAAATCAATAATGATAATAAATAATAATTGGTGTTAAAATAATTAAATAATATTGTGTTATTAATCCTTAACCGAATATAAATAGCGTCTCAACTACCACTGTCAGTTATATCCCAGCCGTCCTAATGAGTCCTGATATTGGATGAACGGCCTATTAAGCATGGAAAAAGCAGATATAGTTGGGTTATTACATTATTTTTTGCTACCACTCACAAGTTTTTAGGATTACTAATTTAAAATAAGTTGATAATACGTCAGGAAGGAATGACATTGTATCATATCATAACATAAAGAAACGTTCAGTCAATTGTATTTATTGTTTGAGTTATACAACAATGATTTCAAGAGTATCAACTTAGTACAATCTTCTAGTGACTATGTGTTTACATTTAAACAACGGAGAAACGTTACCTAGAACAACCTTCTAGTGACTATGTGTTTACATTTAAACAACGGAGAAACGTTACCTAGAACAACCTTCTAGTGATTATATGTTTACATTTAAACAACGGAGAAACTTTACCTAGAACAACCTTCTAGTGATTATATGTTTACATTTAAACAACGGAGAAACTTTACCTAGAACAACCTTCTAGTGATTATATGTTTACATTTAAACAACGGAAAAACGTTACATAGAACAACCTTCTAGTGATTATATG